GAACCTTTTCATTCATCTCCTCTGAATGCTGTCTTGTAGACTAAAACACCTTTCTGTTTGCATATATGCATACTTCACAGCGGCTGCTTTCAAATTTCACAGGAAAGAAGAGTGATTTTGGAGAAAGATAACAAAAAAAAAACAACCCACAAGACTACTAAACATTATTTATGTGTCAGGCACTGTGCTAGACACTTCAGAACCACCAACAAATGTCATTATCACAATAAATAGGTATTATCTTGCTTTAGAGAGGGGACACTTAGGTTAAGCAATGGGATCAGAGTTCATACAGGTTGTAAATGGTAGAACCTCAAATTGAACCCAAGTGTGTCTAATTCCAAAACCCACATCTCACCTTGTAACACTACACAGTGGAGAAAAAACTTGACTTATTCCTTACATTATTGTGGGTGGAATTTAACTGGTGAAATTTCCACACTCAAGTTTCCACAATGGGTTCACACTCCTTCCCAGTGGCCAACCATCATCACGTCATTCCTTCTAATTTACACATATTCAGCACCTTCCTAAGAATGACTGTACTGCCTTGGCTCCTACTCACACATTCACTTCCATATTTCACTGATGGCCAACAGCAGTTTACACACTAGCCCTCAGAGTGATAAAGTCTGTGGAGAACATAAACCTATAGAAAATTTGTCCAGGGTCGAGCTGTAACTTCCCATGAGGCATATACTGGTCGAGCACGTAGACTCTGAAGCCACACTGCCTGGGTTATATAACTTTTATGTGCCTCAGTTTCCCATCTGTGAAGTAGGTATGAAGTTTTCAGGATTAGATGTGTCACTTCACAGAAAGTACTTAGAATGGTGCCTAGTGCTTAAGTTGATAGCTATTAATAATTATGCATAATTCATTTTTTCCTTTCTCTGAAATGTGTTAAGAATTTCCTAATTAGTTTGATTTTTTGTTCCCTTTTACTAGAACACAATCTCTTTTTAAGTAGAAACCACTTCTCACCTCTTCTGTATGTCCTGCAGTGTTTAGCAGAGGGGACTGAGCACAGCAAGCATCCCTCACATCGGAGGAACGAGGTTGTATTTGAGACATTTGCTCTGGAGTCAGGGTTTGGATCATCGCCATCTCTACACATGAAGTTCCTAGCCACATTAAAAGCTTAGCAAAGAAATAATAGGAAAGACTGAGAGGAGGCAACTTGACCTCCCTTGGCTCCCAGACATGGGGAGAGAAGTCAAGAAAATGAAGGCTTGTAAAGTCTCAGTAAAGGATGCACATTTTGCCCACAATCTTCCAGCTCCATTGGTCACATACCCTTTCCTCCATGATAACAAATTTTTTCAAAAGTATATCCTTTAACAACAACAACAACAAGTTCTGGAGCCAAATAAGCTTGGTAAATACTTCACATGTGATCACTGATGATTAGCAATGTATATTAGCATACTAAAGGATCCCAGCAAATCTTGCAATAAAAAGTCCGCTTCATTTTGTTTAACCTAGTTATTTCCAAAATCCATCCTATCATGTTGTTTATTAATATAAAGAACAAACTGTCCTTGGAAAATGACTTTCTACAGCTAGGTGCCGGATGTGCTATTTAGGGTGAGGGACAGAGAAATCAACATGAACCAGAGGAGTCAAAAGAGAGATGAATTTCTGTACTAGCAAGAAGCTCTGGCTGGAGTGGGTGATTCACACAGCATCAGATCCCAATTCTGAGGAGCATAACCCTAGTGAAGTGTTCCCTTCATTTATTCTTGAAAATAGAAATCCAGCTCAGTCAGTCAGTCAGTCAATCAATCTTTATTAACTGTCAACTGAACCTAACACTTTCCCAGGAACACACTGTATCACAATACATGAAAACCACCAGGCTAAGGAATATTTCTTTCCTTGCTTTTGATTCCTTATGAGTCTGACCTATTCTTTGCATCATTTCTACAAACTAGCTGAAAATTTGACACCCTAGGGGACCTTAAACAGCATGAAAGGGATTGCTAAATAAGCCAATAAGACACTACTTAATAACCTGAGGACTGTGTGGTATTTTAGTTTCATTGCCTGATTTTATGACTTCTGTGAGCTAAAATTAAAATTCCCAAACCCATTATCACTGTAAGAAGCAATCCAAGGTTGTAGCTCATAAGCAAAATAGCTCTTTTCTTCTCCAAGATTTCTTTATCCTTATGGCTGCTCTTTTCCATCAGCAGTAAAGAAGGGGATAAGGTTGAAAATGAAAGAGCTTCATTAATTTCAAATATCAAATTACTGGATGACTTGGGTCTTCAATGGTTTAGTCCTGCTTTTTAATTATTAGTGGTAAGAGAAAAAACACTTTATAATTACCTTTATTCTAAAGTTTCTATAAAAGAATAATGACCAAATGAGGTAATACACATTACTGTATCCTCAGTTCTGCAGTTCTTTGTGACTACAGCTTTCAGGGCATGTTATTTCCTGTGGAAATAAAAGGGACTCACTGTCCAGAGAGATTGGGGTGAGGTCGCCATCTAGTGGCTGCCATTCAAAACATGCTGGGAATAGCACCGCTGGGCTACTGGGCTCAGCCTAGAGGAGCTAGCAAGGGATACGGGACTGTCACTGCTGCTTTGCAGAATCCTGTTTGAACTAACAGCTCACGAGGACTTCTTGAATAATTAATTCAGGATGGCTGTAGGTTCTAAACCATATATCCATTTTTACATCTCTTTGCTTACATTCATTACATAAAGCTAAGTTACCCTTCAGGCATATAGAATAGTAACCTTACCCCCCACACATACTAAGGTGTCTATGTACATACAATTGGGGGGCTTTGGATACTTATTATGGTTCTGTTTAGCTTCGTTTTTGAGGGGAGAGGGGTGTTTTAGTCTACACTAAAATGTATTCCTCACATCACCCCTAATCAATTCCATTGTATTTTTCCCATAGCATAATACAAATCATTTTTCTTATGATGGTTTGTGAAGTCCAGCAAGCAGCTTGATTTGGTGATATCACAAAAACATGAATTTGGAGCTTGAATTACACAGCTCCTTCTAAATTTCATGTCTTCTTGAATGTAAAAAGACAATAAGAACTCTTATTCTGCAAGGTAATGGGGAATTACAGAAGATTTAAGGAGCCGATATATGTAAGACAGCTATCTCAGTATCTAATGCCTACTGGGCACTGAATATATGACTCCTACTCTTCCTCTGTCCATAGACTCTCCTTACCTACCTACCTACCTACCTACACACACACACACACGCACACACACACGCTTTACCTCCACACATGGCTCACTATAATTCCAGACTCCAGAAGTACTGAAGCTCATGAATATAAAATTAAATTATAGGACCCCAAATTGTAGGACCTTTAAACAGGAGAGGTCCTTAGCAGTAATAGAATTTCAAGGTTAAAAATGAGGAAATGAGGAAAAAGAGATTTATCATATCTGTCCCAACAGCAAAAAGTATTTTAGTTAAAATGACTGTATGAAACCCCAGGGATCCTGACTCTATCTTGACTATCTTAATCACAGAAGAATCTAGAGATAATTTACACCACTGACTTCATTTGACAAGATTCAGAAACAGTAAGTAACTTTTCCAACATCTGGCAGAGAATTAAAGCCAGGGCCCAGATCTCCTGACATGAACAGTGTTCTATAATACCCCATGCTACCCCCCAAGTTTTCTTTTCATATCCTAGTGCACTGCTCTGGAATGTTAGAAAGTAGAGATTTATTTGGATACAACACGGAGGATGCCCTCTCTCTTCCAACCTAGACCTCATTAAATTTTACCCATCAAATTATGGCTAACTAGCTACCTTAATTAGCCACTCCTGCTTTCCCCAGCCCAAAATGATAATTTTCTCTTCTGAATGACAACGACAACCCACACATTTTGGAATCTCATTACATATTCTTTGTCTTATTTTCTATTACCTGGGTCCTATCTACTCTACTAATTGGTTCATTACTTGAGGAAACAGATAATCTCTTGTGCTTCCTTCTTTTTTTCTACATCCTTAGCACACTACTGATATGTAACAGGCTCTCAAGAAATACTTATTGCTTATGTGAAGCTTCAAATGTTCCTTTACTTATGTATACATTCATTCATTTATATTTGTCCTCCTAGAATGTAAATTCCAACCAAGTCAAGCACTTGCCTATTTCTTCACCTCCATATTCTTATTGCCTTCTGAAGTAGAACTCAAAACATGGTAGATACTCAATAACAATTAAATAACATATGTATTTAGCTCCTTCTAAGTATCCTGTAGTGATCTAAGTACATACTTTTACCTATAATGTTCTGAATTTCTGGTTTATTCATCTCCCTCTACTAGAAAGTCAGTTATTGAGAGAAGAAACTGGCACCTGGGAAGGTGATTGATAAGTGATTTTTGAATAAATGAATAATAAAGGATCTACAGAACTGTATATCTATTCTCCAGATACATATTCTATGCCTAAGGATATCTCATCAACATACAGCGACAGTAATGGGTAAATTCTATAATACAGATCAATGAAAAGGGATTATGCAAATATAGAGGAAGACCTCCTTAGCCTTACCTGAGTTTGTCAACAGAGAACATGTCACATGACTTCTGTTAAGCAAAATAAAACATTTTTTTTTAAAAAACCCTTTGCTTACTGAATGACCAAGAGGACTATGAGAGCAAAGACAGACAAATTTCACTACATATAGCTGTACTCACCCTCAGCCACATCATCATCCACAGTTAATTTAAGGCTTTTTCCTCTCCGCACCACCCGAACGGTGTGCCATTCATTGTCATTGAGCTTCTGCCCCGCATACAGGGTCTCAGGTCCTTTGCCTAAGGACGATGGTAAGTGTTAAAGTTAGAATCAATTCTGAAAGTAGTAATTATGGCATCAGAACTGTCAAAGCCACACTGGTGCACATGACCCAGTAGCATTCAAGGAATCATGCCCACCCATAGCCCATCTTAGTTTCACTGATCCAAGAGAATGCTCCACTATTGCCCCAAATGCAAAAGTCTCAATTCATATGGACATTGACAAAACAATGAAAGATATAAGTGTCCTCCTTTGTCTACAGATATAAAGTTCTAAAATGCCAATGGTAAGCAAACGTTTATAAGAAATGTAGTCAGCTGTCATTTTGTTTCTCAAAGTCTTAGATTTCAGATGAATTTCTTAAAGATACAGGAAACCCATCATGTATTTTTTTTAGAACTATTTGGTCACTTAGGCATAATACACCAGTCTGGCTTTTGGAGAGTATTCATCAATTGGATGAGAAAAGAGTTCTGTAATATATATATTCTTAACTTGATTTTGCCATTAACCCACGGTCCTACCAGAATTCAGCAACCATAGAAATCACTACAGTAATCACCACAATAATAATGTTGAGGTCTAAACCCCATGACAAATAATGCTCCTGAAGGGAATGTGAAGTATTCCAGATTTATCTCATTGCTCATCATCCTCCAAAAAGATATAAAAATCTAAGAAATGAAATAATGTAAAATTCCATAATAGAACCCTTCTAGGTCAAAAAAATATTCAGTAGAAAGTGCCACCAAATAAAGGAATAAACCAAGTTGTCTCTAAAGATCCATGATCAAGATGTTCAAGAGGATGTTCAAGGGCACCCTAAGGAGAATCCGGCTCAACAAGGAATTACAATATTTAGGGACAAAAGCTGTCAAGATGAACACTGAAGCATGAAAAGAATTTGGTTAGTAATGGCAGGGTGGTAGAAATGTCATGTTTTGCTCACCATTGAACTGAGATGTAAATTTAAAAGACAAAGAAGATTGCATAGAACCAGAGAACTTAGACCAAGTTTGATCTTTCTTTGTGGGTAGCTGAGCCCATGCAGAAAGATGCCATGTAAGTCTTCCTGGATTAGTCAATCGCTATGTAGAAAGCCCTATCTTTGGAAATAGCTGGGGGGAGAAAAGACGCAATACGTAACTGGCCAATATGTCTTTATGGGTATTATGCATTTGAAATATGTCAGAATACACTTGGATCCGACATATAGGAGGAGCACAGGCCTAGGTGCACAGTAGGTGCTTTAATGAGCACTTATTGAGCAACTGATGTCTACATAGGTATTTATTTCTTTGGAAACCATCAACTAAGGTCAATATATTTTTATCTAAGAAATTTTGAAAGCTTATTATATAGCTTTCACTTTCACCCCTTTCTCTACTCCAAGACTGAGTTATTATATACTCCTTAGGGAAGGAAATTTAAAAAGTAGTATCACTTGGGTAAATACCTTTTAAACTAGGTACTTTTAAACTGTACCCTTTGAGTTATTAGTGTTGCTATTGAATGCTGGTTATATGAGTAATGATAGCAGTTGAAGTTTGGGGGGATTTTCTTCTTAAAAATAAAGATTTTCAAAGTAAAAAGGTCTCTTTTGATTACAATGTATACAATAAATAATTTGCATTAATTTTTTTTCAAAATGTACCTATACCCCAAGTACAATGCAAATTCACAAGAATTCTAAGGATTCAATGAACTGTAAAGTGGACCAAATGTATGTACCCAAAATTGGGTATGATGCCAGGAGATCAATGAATCTTGGGGGGGGGGGGTTTGGAATTCTATAATAAATCATTTTATGTTCAATTTTAGCTTTTCTTTGTGAGTATTCCTGTCTTAATATTATATAAAGCACATGCATTATAATGGGATTTTTCCTATATGTCACTTCATTAGGTAGCACTGTTTATTATTTCATTAAATTCAGATCTCAGATTGATGTAACAGTCACTTGTACAATAGCAAACTGTGCAGGCACTGAGAGAAAATGGGCTACATCATGTGGGTGCTTTGAAGCAAGAACAGATGTTCTCAGAAGAAACAAATCTGCCTTTGTTTTTTTGTGTGTGTGTCTTTATCCTCTTTATTCTACATGCAAACGCTTCAATAAGAAAGAAGAAAGTAAAGAAAGACGTAGAAAATACTGGCTATGGAGGCAGAACTGTTACAAAGGCAGACTATTTAAACATCTATAGGTGGCGTCCGTTCTTTAAGCAATTCTTGCACATCACTTCATTTTTATGATTGGGAACAAAATAAGAGGGAGAAATACTAACACAAACACAGTCACAGTTTAGCAAAATTGCCACATTAGTGTCATATTAGCCACAGAGATGTAAAACAAGCTTTGCAATTAGCCCAGTGTGTTTAAAATGCTGCTGACATTTTGCAGGTACTTTGAATTTTCTTTTGTCCTTGAAATATCCATTCTAGTCAAGTTTAAACAAAAATATTTAACTGTCCATTTGACTCTAAAACTTTAGGATGTGATGGTCTATAACCAAACATGTAAAAAAAAAAAAAAAAAA